AAAACCGCCATAAAAAAACCAGACTACGGTTTGCAAAATTATGTGGATATATTGAAGCAACATCTCAAGACATCAGTCAGGAAGTTAAAGCTTGGTGGTAAATTGGTCTTCCAAATGGACAATGACCCCAAGCATACTTCCAAAGTTGTGGCAAAATGGCTTAAGGACAACAAAGTCAAGGTATTGGAGTGGCCATCACAAAGCCCTGACCTCAATCCTATAGAATCCTATAAAAATGTGTGGGCAGAACTGAAAAGGTGTGTGGGAGCAAGGAGGCCTACAAACCTGACTCAGTTACACCAGCACTGTCAGGAGGAATGGGCCAAAATTCACCCAACTTATTGTGGGAAGCTTGTGGAAGGCTTAAAATAAAGTGGTGATCCTAACTGACCTAAGACAGGGAATTTTTATTAGGATTAAATGTCAGGAATTGTGAAAAACTGAGTTTAAATGTATTTCGCTAAGGTGTATGTAAACTTCCGACTTCAACTGTGTATATATATATATATATATATACATACAGTGGGGGAAAAAAGTATTTAGTCAGCCACCAATTGTGCAAGTTCTCCCACTTAAAAAGATGAGAGAGGCCTGTAATTTTCATCATAGGTACACGTCAACTATGACAGACAAAATTAGAAAGAAAATTCCAGAAAATCACATTGTAGGATTTTTTATGAACTTATTTGCAAATGATGGTGGAAAATAAGTATTTGGTCAATAACAAAAGTTTCTCAATACTTTGTTATATACCCTTTGTTGGCAATGACACAGGTCAAACGTTTTCTGTAAGTCTTCACAAGGTTTTCACACACAGTTGCTGGTATTTTGGCCCATTCCTCCATGCAGATCTCCTCTAGAGCAGTGATGTTTTGGGGCTGTCGCTGGGCAACATGGACTTTCAACTCCCTCCAAAGATTTTCTATGGGGTTGAGATCTGGAGACTGGCTAGGCCACTCCAGGACCTTGAAATGCTTCTTACGAAGCCACTCCTTCATTGCCCGGGCGGTGTGTTTGGGATCATTGTCATGCTGAAAGACCCAGCTATGTTTCATCTTCAATGCCCTTGCTGATGGAAGGAGGTTTTCACTCAAAATCTCACGATACATGGCCCCATTCATTCTTTCCTTTACACGGATCAGTCGTCCTGGTCCCTTTGCAGAAAAACAACCCCAAAGCATGATGTTTCCACCCCCATGCTTCACAGTAGGTATTGTGTTCTTTGGATGCAACTCAGCATTCTTTGTTCTCCAAACACGACGAGTTGAGTTTTTACCAAAAAGTTCTATTTTGGTTTCATCTGACCATACGACATTCTCCCAATCCTCTTCTGGATCATCCAAATGCACTCTAGCAAACTTCAGACGGGCCTGGACATGTACTGGCTTAAGCAGGGGGACACGTCTGGCACTGCAGGATTTGAGTCCCTGGCGGCGTAGTGTGTTACTGATGGTAGGCTTTGTTACTTTGGTCCCAGCTCTCTGCAGGTCATTCACTAGGTCCCCCCGTGTGGTTCTGGGATTTGTGCTCACCGTTCTTGTGATCATTTTGACCCCACGGGGTGAGATCTTGCGTGGAGCCCCAGATCGAGGGAGATTATCAGTGGTCTTGTATGTCTTCCATTTCCTAATAATTGCTCCCACAGTTGATTTCTTCAAACCAAGCTGCTTACTTATTGCAGATGCAGTCTTCTCAGCCTGGTGCAGGTCTACAATTTTGTTTCTGGTGTCCTTTGACAGCTCTTTGGTCTTGGCCATAGTGGAGTTTGGAGTGTGACTGTTTGAGGTTGTGGACAGGTGTCTTTTATACTGATAACAAGTTCAAACAGGTGCCATTAATACAGGTAACGAGTGGAGGACAGAGGAGCCTCTTAAAGAAGAAGTTACAGGTCTGTGAGAGCCAGAAATCTTGCTTGTTTGTAGATGACCAAATACTTATTTTCCACCATAATTTGCAAATAAATTCATAAAAAATCCTACAATGGGATTTTCTGGATTTTTCTTTCTCAATTTGTCTGTCATAGTTGACGTGTACCTATGATGAAAATTACAGGCCTCTCTCATCTTTTTAAGTGGGAGAACTTGCACAATTGGTGGCTGACTAAATACTTTTTTTCCCCACTGTATACACACACACATACACAGTTGAAGTTCTCCCTGTCTGAGAACGCTACCTGCCCGAATGCATATACACTACTCCTGGCATCAGCCAAACCCAGATTAGTCTGTTGGACTGCCAGATGGTGAAGCGTGATTCATCACTACAGAGAATGCGTTTCCACTGCTCCAGAGTCCAATGGTGGCGAGCTTTACACCACTCCAGCTGACGCTTGACATTGCGCATGGTGATCTTAGGCTTGTGTTTGGCTGCTTGGCCCATTTCATGAAACTCCAGACGAACAGTTATTGTGCTGACGTGGCTTCCAGAGGCAGTTTGGAACTCGGTAGTGAGTGTTGCAACAGAGGACAGACTATTTGTACGCGCTTCAGCACTCGGCGGTCCCGTTCTGTGAGCTTGTGTGGCCTACCACTTCGCAGCTGAACCGTTGTTGCTCCTAGATGTTTCCACTTCACAATAACAGCACTTACAGTTGACCGGGGCAGCTCTAGCAGGGCAGAAATGTGACAAACTGACTTGTTGGAATGGTGGCATCCTATCACAGTGCCATGTTAAGTCACTGAGCTCTCCAGTAAGGCCATTCTACTGCCAATGTTTGTCTATGGAGATTGCATGGCGGTGTGCTCGATTTTATACACCTGTCAGCAACAGGTGTGGCTGAAATAGCAGAATCCACTAATTTGAGGGGGTGCCCACATACTTTTGTGTATATATATATATATATATATATATATATATATATATATATATATATATATATATATATATATATATATATATATATATATAGTGTATCTAATAAATGGAAGATGGAATTAAAATGATGGAATTAAAAGTTAACGCTCTTATCCAGAGCGACTCTACACATTGTAATAGCTTAGGCAATGTTCTTTAAATACATTGTCAAATAGTTACAAGACACCTGTAGGCTCTTCAACAAGAGTGAAACTATTCTTCTACACTGCACATGAAGTAGAAAGCGTTCATTTTTATTCTGTCATTTCGCTTTAACAACCATAACAAAAGTTTATTTGTGCTAACTCTTTTCCCCTCTTCCTCGTCCCTCCACCTCTCTGCCCTCATCCCTCCACCTCTCTGCCCTCGTCCCTCCACCTCTCTGCACTCGTCCCTCCACCTCTCTGCCCTCATCCCTCCACCTCTCTGCCCTCATCCCTCCACCCCTCCACCTCTCTGCCCTCATCCCTCCACCCCTCCACCTCTCTGCCCTCGTCCCTCCACCTCTCTGCCCTCGTCCCTCCACCTCTCTGCCCTCGTCCCTCCACCTCTCTGCCCTCGTCCCTCCACCTCTCTGCCCTCGTCCCTCCACCTCTCTGCCCTCGTCCCTCCACCTCTCTGCCCTCGTCCCTCCACCTCTCTGCCCTCGTCCCTCCACCTCTGCCCTCGTCCCTCCACCTCTCTGCCCTCGTCCCTCCACCTCTCTGCCCTCGTCCCTCCACCCCTCGTCCCTCCACCTCTCTGCCCCGTCCCTCCACCCCTCGTCCCTCCACCTCTCTGCCCTCGTCCCTTCCACCTCTCTGTCCTCGTCCCTCCACCCCCTCGTCCCTCCCACCTCTTGCCCTCGTCCCTCCACCTCTCTGCCCTCGTCCCTCCACCTCTCTGCCCTCGTCCCTCCACCCCTCGTCCCTCCACCTCTCTGCCACTCGTCCCTCCACCCTCGTGCCCTCCTCCACCTCTCTGCCCTCGTCCCTCCACCTCTCTGCCCTCGTCCCTCCACCTCTCTGCCCTCGTCCCTCCACCTCTCTGCCCTCGTCCCTCCACCTCTCTGCCCTCGTTCCCTCCACCTCTCTGCCCTCGTTCACCTCCACCTATCTGACCCTCGTCCCTCCACCTCTCTGCCCTCGTCCCTCCACCTCTCTGCCCTCGTCCCTCCACCCCTCGTCCCTCTACCTCGCTGCCCTCGTCCCTCCACCCCTCGTCCCTCTACCTCTCTGCCCTCATCCCTCCACCCCTCGTCCCTCCACCTCTCTGCCCTCATCCCTCCACCCCCTCGTCCCTCCACCTCTCTGGCCCTCGTCCCTCCACCTCTCTGCCCTCGTCCCTCCACCTCTCTGCCCTCATCCCTCCACCCCTCATCCCTCCACCTCTCTGCCCTCATCCCTCCACCTCTCTGCCCTCATCCCTCCACCCCTCGTCCCTCCACCTCTCTGCCCTCATCCCTCCACCTCTCTGCACTCATCCCTCCACCCCTCATCCCTCCACCTCTCTGCCCTCATCCCTCCACCTCTCTGCCCTCGTCCCTCCACCTCTCTGCCCTCGTCCCTCCACCTCTCTGCCCTCATCCCTCCACCTCTCTGCCCTCGTCCCTCCACCTCTCTGCCCTCATCCCTCCACCTCTCTGCCCTCGTCCCTCCACCTCTCTGCCCTCATCCCTCCACCATCTCTGCCCTCATCCCTCCACCCCTCATCCCTCCACCTCTCTGCCCTCGTTCCCTCCACCTCTCTGCCCTCGTCCCTCCACCTCTCTGCCCTCGTCCCTCCACCTCTCTGCCCTCATCCCTCCACCCCTCGTCCCTCCACCTCTCTGCCCTCGTCCCTCTACCTCTCTGCCCTCGTCCCTCTACCTCTCTGCCCTCGTCCCTCCACCTCTCTGCCCTCGTCCCTCCACCTCTCTGCCCTCGTCCCTCCACCTCTCTGCCTCGTCCTCCACCTCACTGCCCTCGTCCCTCCACCTCTCTGCCCTCGTCCCTCCACCTCTCTGCCCATCGTCCCTCCACCTCTCTGCCCTCGTCCCTCCACCTCTCTGCCCTCGTCCCTCCACCTCTCTGCCCTCGTCCCTCCACCTCTCTGCCCTCGTCCCTCCACCTCTCTGCCCTCGTCCCTCCACCTCTCTGCCCTTGTCCCTCCACCTCTCCCTCTGTCAGTATTGGCTACCCCGTGGTGACTCTGGGCTTTGGCTTTAAGAGCTACGTCAGCTACAAGATGAGACTGAGGAAACAGAAGGAGGTGCAGAAGGAGAATGACTTTTACATGCAGCTCCTGCAGCAGGCCCTGCCCCCAGAGCAACAGATGTTACAGAGACAGGAGAGAGAGGCAGAGGAGGGTGAGATGGATCATTCAGTACACACCTCACTTTACTCTGAGCAACAGATGCTACAGAGACAGGAGAGGGAGGCAGAGGAGGGTGAGATGGATCATTCAGTACACACCTCACTTTACTCTGAGCAACAGATGCTACAGAGACAGGAGAGAGAGGCAGAGGAGGGTGAGATGGATCATTCAGTACACACTTCACTTTACTCTGAGCAACAGATGCTCCGCCAACAATTGGAAGGTGATAGACAAGCACACACTGTTGTAATCTTACCTGAACTCTTCCTAACGTTGCTTCCTCCTTTCTAGCGGCCATGGCTAAAGGTGTGTCATCAGAGGTGGACACTACCCCTCCGGTTTCCCAAAACGGGTCAACTCCCGGCAAGAAGACCCCCGTTAACGCTTCTGTCCCCTTACCGGAACTGGAGTACCGGGAGAAAGGGAGAGACGGGAACAGCAAGGAGCGGGAGGGCAAACAACAACAACAACAACACACCATAGGAATCAACAACAACAGTATCCTCCACACACTGGACTCCACATTACAGGAGACAGAGTATATGGAGAACATGGGGGGGAAGAGACTGAACAATGACCTCGGAGGAGAGAGCACAGACACAGACAACACACACACTCCCAAAGAGGATATGGGGGGAACAGGAGGAGGAGGAGGAGGAGGAGGAGGGAAGAACTACAAAAACGCCAGCGGAGGCGGTGTGGCCACCAACTCCTCCCCTCGGAATCACAGCGCCACCAATGGGACCGTGCCGTCGTCTGGCTCGTCCAATAAGAATGAGAAAAAGCTGAAGTCTGCGGGGAAAGGAGGAGCCAATCAGAAGGATCCCGTGGAGAACTGCATTCCCAATAATCAACTGGGCAAGCCAGATGCTCTCGTCCGGTAAGACACACACATAGGCCCATAGCCAATGTACACCCACATATAGGCAGGTAGGCAGGTAGGCAGGCACAGACACATGTAGGTTTCACACTCCCCTTGGTGGCCTTTCAGGCCGTACTACAATGCAGTCGGGCTTCTCACAGCAACCAAAGGTGTGCCACGTCATCAGATCTCATACGATGTGTGTAGCTGTTATGTTAAACACCTATTCATGTGTTCTGAGATCTGGCAGGAAACTGCAATGTGGTGAAAAGCTGAAACATCGATCCTCTCTCCCCTTTCCCTCTCTAGGCTGGAGCAGGAAGTGAAGCGTCTGAAGGCAGACCTGCAGGCGAGCCGTCAGTTGGAGTCAGAGTTACGTTCTCACCTCTCCTCTCTGACCTGCCAGGACAGGAGTCTGCGCTCAGAGCTGGGCCAGCTGCGACAAGACAATGAGATGCTGCAGAACAAGTAAGTCAACACACACACCAGACACACACACACCACACACAGACTCACACCACACACACACACACACACACAAACACACACCACACACAGACACACAGACTCACACCACACACACACACCAGACACGCGCACACACACACCACACACAGACTCACACCACACACACACACACCACACACCAACACACACACACCACACAAACACACAGACACACAACACACACACCAACACACCACACACACCAACACAAACACACAACACACCACACACACCACACACAGATACCAACACAGACACACACTCACACCACACACACAACCACCACACACACCACACCAACAGACTCACACCCACACACACACACACACACACACACCACACCACACCAGACACACACACAGACTCACACCACACACACACACCACACACACACACCCACACAACACACAACCAACACACACACAGCCCACCACCACACACACACACACCACACACACACACACCACACACACCACACACAGCACACACACACACCACACACACACACACCACACACACACACACACCACACACACACACACCACACCAAACCACACACACCACCACACACCAACACACACACACCACACACAGACACACACACACACACACACAGACACACACACACACAGACACACACACACTCACTCGAGGCCTGGGAACAATATCAATCTACAGAAGCCAAGGTTCTCAAACTATTAGCGCGTTGGAAGGGATCGGCCTGAGCGTAATCACTAATCTTGATCACATAAAGAGTGTTTATTTTGGATGCAAGGGGATCTGTAGATCAGGGAACCTGATTCTGTGTTCCCCTCCAACATGCAGATTCATTCTGACTTAGAAACTCAGGGAACAAACTTTGTGGCTGTGTTTGTGTGTCCATCTCTAACTGTGTTTGTGTGGCGTGTGCTCCACAGTGCTGTCCAGGCCAAGCAGAAGGACAAGCAGACCATCTCCCAGCTAGAGAAGAGGCTGAAGGCAGAGCAGGAGGCCCGGGCCCTGGCGGAGAAACAGCTGGCCGATGAGAGGAAGAGGAAGAGGCTGGAGGAGGCCACCTCAGCCCGGGCTTTAGCATTGGCCGAAGCCTCCAGGTAGGAAACCCCACACCAGGGATTCCGTTGGCCGGTAATAGCCGGCTTTTGGCTGATTTAAAAATAAATAAATGAAAAGCCGATGAATAAAATATTGTTTATTATCCTCTTGACTGATGGAAATACCAGTTGGTGTAATTACATTTGACTGGTCATGCTTATCGGTCTATAGGTCAATTTGCATAATTTAGTGTCATTAAATTGGCGCATATGTACAGTATATTCGTTATGTGTCTTATTTATCACACGCATACTGCATACAGAGACAGAGCCTTTGAGTAGAACATCTGTCAGACAGACAAGACCTGCTGCTGCTGCATCTTATGGTGCTTTCAAGACAACTGGGAAGTCTGAAAAATACGAGGTCAAATCATGACGTCCGTGATCGTCAGGTCGGAAAGTTGGAGCTCTAGAAAGAGTTCCGAGTTGGAATTCCGATTTGGATGACCGTTCAAAACGCGTTTTTTCTTTTTTCTTTCTCCCAGTTACCAGTTGTCTTGAACACACTGAAGTCGGAAGTCGGAGATTTCCGAGTTGCCAGTCGTTTTGAATGCGGCATCAAACGGGCAACGGAAGGCAGGTTTTATCAGCGCGTCCTACACCACTTTGCAATGAACTGGAGGCAGTGTGCATTTTGAAAACATATACTTAATCGTTTGTAACCTGAACGTTTTAATCCATTTTATGAGGCATTACCTTGCCTTGCTTCTAAGTAGCCTATTAGATCTCCTCTCATTCTTCATCTCTGTCACATGAAACCACTCGCATGTGCAGTGCCTTTTTGACAACAGTTTTTTCCCCTCTAATTGCATTATGGGACGAACATTGGCGAATAGCCTACTGCCTAATGCGCATTGCTGTGCTTATAATGTGAAGAAATAATAATTTAAGCTAAACGTTCTTATCTGTTAAATCAGATTTATTGCTTTTTTACGTTTTTTTTCTTTATGTAGCCTAGGCTAACTGGTTGTAGGAATTTGGGATCTATCGTCCCACAACTGTCCCAGAGTCTGTTTGGAATAGGCTATTTCTTTCTTGACAAGCTGGCCGATAGAATAGGTAGCCTAAAGGTTTCTACTGTAGTAGATTGACATAGGCTAGTGATTTAGCTGTTCGTTACTCGTCTTGTGGGCTGAGGAAAAGTACATGTGGACAGTTATTCTAACATCTTAAAAGTGCGCATCAGAATTCGGTAAGATGGACCGCACATCGTTTCATCCTCGACTTGCATGTTCTGTTAATACGAATGTACGTTACATTTAAAATGTTGCCGTCAAATGTCAAAAACCCTGACTCTATCTCTCTCAGGGGTGAGTGTACTGACTCCCTGCGTGGTCGGATCAGAGAGTTGGAGACGGAGTGTAAGAAATTCGGCATCGACATGAAACTCAAAGAAGAACACATTAGAGAGCTGGAGGGGAAATGCCAGGTGAGTCAATCCATCCATCCATCTTAGAAATGCATCCTTTCTATGAGCGCATTGTCTCATGAATGACCGAAGCAGGGTGCCGCTGATTTCTGACTGGAACTTCCTTACTAAGATCTTTCCATTTTAGTCATTTTAGCTCTGATCCAGAGCGACCTAAAGTAGTGAGTGCATACATATTCTTACTTTTTCGTACTGGTCCCCTGTGGGAATCGAACCCACACCCAAAAGACAGAAGACCAACAGAGGCGGAGAGAGACGAGAGAAGGGAGAGAGAGTAGAACGAGAGAGAGGCGCGAGAGAGAGAAAGAGGAGAGAGAGAGAGAGAGAGCAGGAGAGACAGAGAGAAAAAAAGAGAGGGACAAAAGAGAGAGGAGACAAAAGGGAGCAGAGGGCAAGAGCGAACAAAGAAAAGGGAGAGAGGAGACGAGGGGAAAAGTACGAGCTAAAGCGCGTGACGCAGAGAAGCAGAGAGAGAGAGTAGAAAACCAAGGGAGATCGAGGACCAAAAACGAGAAGAGACGGAGTCACCCCGACTAGAGAAAAAAAAAATGAAACTACCTTCTCACACACCCCTATCCTCTCAACCCCCTCTATCCCTCTCTCTCTCTCTCTCTCTCGTCTCTCTTCTCTACCCCCCTTTTCTCTCTCTCTCTTCTCTTCCCCCTCCTCTCTCTAGGAGCTGTATAAGTACAAGGAGAATGAGAAGGACATGGAGGTGTTGATGACAGCGCTGTCAGCCATGCAGGATAAAACCCAGCACCTGGAGAACAGCCTGTCTGCTGAGACCAGGATCAAACTAGACCTCTTCTCTGCCCTTGGGGACGTCAAGAGACAGCTGGAGATTTCACAAGGTACAGTTCCCTTACCTGACCCACTACCACGGTCCTACAGCCAAGGTACAGTTCCCTTACCTGACCCACTACCACGGTCCTACAGCCAAGGTACAGTTCCCTTACCTGACCCACTACCACAGTCCTACAGCCACTGGCATCTAGCTGAGCCGTTGTGTTCATAGACTCTAGGGTCAAACTCTGACAGCTGGATTGCAGAAGGTTCACTAGCATTACCTCAGGGTATCATCTACCATTACATAACCAGGACGCTCCTCAAGGTTCACTAGCATTACCTCAGGGTATCATCTACCATTACATAACCAGGACGCTCCTCAAGGTTCACTAGCATTACCTCAGGGTATCATCTACCATTACATAACCAGGACGCTCCTCAAGGTTCACTAGCATTACCTCAGGGTATCATCTACCATTACATAACCAGGACGCTCCTCAAGGTTCACTAGCATTACCTCAGGGTATCATCTACCATTACATAACCAGGACGCTCCTCAAGGTTCACTAGCATTACCTCAGGGTATCATCTACCATTACATAACCAGGACGCTCCTCAAGGTTCACTAGCATTACCTCAGGGTATCATCTACCATTACATAACCAGGACGCTCCTCAAGGTTCACTAGCATTACCTCAGGGTATCATCTACCATTACATAACCAGGACGCTCCTCAAGGTTCACTAGCATTACCTCAGGGTATCGTCTACCATTACATAACCAGGACGCTCCTCAAGGTTCACTAGCATTACCTCAGGGTATCATCTACCATTACATAACCAGGACGCTCCTCAAGGTTCACTAGCATTACCTCAGGGTATCATCTACCATTACATAACCAGGACGCTCCTCAAGGTTCACTAGCATTACCTCAGGGTATCATCTACCATTACATAACCAGGACGCTCCTCAAGGTTCACTAGCATTACCTCAGGGTATCGTCTACCATTAAATAAAAAGGACGCTCTGCTGCTTGACCCAGAGATGTAAATCAACAACATGAAGAGAATGGCAACAAAGTGAGAAGACACATTTACTACTGTCATCTAACCCTTCTCTCTCTCTCTCTCTCTGTCTCTCTCTCTCCGTCTCTGTCTCTCTCTCTCTCTCTGTCTCTCTCTCTCTCTCTCTGTCTCTCCGTCTCTCTCTCTGTCTCTCTCTCTCTCTCTCTCCCTCCCTCCCTCCCTCCCTCCCTCCCTCCCTCCCTCCCTCCCTCCCCCTCCCCCAGGTCAGATCCACCAGAGAGAGCAGGAGATAGCAGAGTTGAAGCAGAAGATAGCTGAGGTGATGGCGGTGATGCCCAGTATCTCCTACAGCAACGACATCAGCAGCCTCAGTCCCGTTACACCACACTACTCCTCCAAGTTCATGGACAATAGTCCCTCCTCCCTGGATCCCAACGCTTCTGTCTACCAGCCACTCAAAAAGTGACACTAACTCACACATTAATACACTTACTCACAAGACAGCATACATAGTCACATACACACATTCTCATACATACAAAGAGACAAACACTTCTGGTCATGTTCTCGGAGCCGTCTAGTACTAACCTCTCAACACACACACACACTCAGCCCCAATCTTCTTACTTCGCCTGAGTTTTTGGTCACGGGTTTGTTCCCATGGCGATGCTTTGTTTTCTTTCTGTCTGTTTTGGAACCGCTGTAGAGGTTTTGTGGTGTGGTGTGTAAAACTACACTAGGGAAGATGTTTTGGGATTGAGCCATTCTGATATAACTGGTAAGAGAGACATAGAGGGACATCCAGGTTGACAAGGACTGCGTCCCAAATAGCACATACAGTTGAAATCGGAAGTTTACATCCACTTAGGTTGGAGTCATTAAAACTCGTTTTTCAACCACTCCACAAATTTCTTCTTAACAAACTATAGTTTTGGCAAGTCTGTTAGGACATCTACTTTGTGCATGACACAAGTAAATTTTCCAACAATTGTTTACAGATTATTTCACTTATTATTCAGTGTATCACAATTCCAGTGGGTCAGAAAGTTTACATACACTAAGTTGACTGTGCCTTTAAACAGCTTGGAAAATTCCAGAAAATGATGTCATGGCTTTAGAAGCTTCTGATAGGCTAATTGACATCATTTGAGTCAATTGGAGGTGTACCTGTGGATGTATTTCAAGGCCAACCTTCAAACTCAGTGCCTCTTTGCTTGACATCATGGGAAAATCAAAAGAAATCAGCCAAGACCTCAGAAAAATAATGGTAGACCTCCACAAGTCTGGTTCATCCTTCGGAGCAATTTCCAAACGTCTGAAGGTACCACGTTCATCTGTACAAACAATAGTACGCAAGTATAAACACCATGGGACCACGCAGCCGTCATACCGCTCAGGAAGGAGACGCGTTCTGTCTCCTAGAGATGAACGTACTTTGGTGCGAAAAGTGCAAATCAATCCCAGAACAGCAGCAAAGGACCTTGTGAAGATGCTGGAGGAAACGGGTACAAAAGTATCTATATCCACAGTAAAACGAGTCCTATATCGACATAACCTGAAAGGCCGCTCAGCAAGGAAGAAGCCACTGCTCCAAAACCGCCATAAAAAAGCCAGACTACGGTTTGCAACTGCACATGTGGACAAAGATCATACTTTTTGGAGAAATGTCCACTGATCTGATTAAAGAAAAATAGAACTGTTTGGCCATAATGACCATCGTTATGTTTGGAGGAAAAAGGGGTGGCTTGCAAGCCAAAGAACACCATCCCAACCGTGAAGCATGGGGGTGGCAGCATCATGCTGTGGGGGTTCTTTGCTGCAGGAGGGACTGGTGCACTTCACAAAATAGATGGCATCATGAGGAAGGACAATTATGTGGATATATTGAAGCAACATCTCAAGACATCAGTCAGGAAGTTAAAGCTTGGTCGCAAATGGGTCTTCCAAATGGACAATGACCCCAAGCAGACTTCCAAAGTTGTGGCAAAATGGCTTAAGGACAACAAAGTCAAGGTATTGGAGTGGCCATCACAAAGCCCTGACCTCAATCCTATAGAACATTTGTGGGCAGAACTGAAAAAGCGTGTGCGAGCAAGGAGGCCTACAAACCTGACTCAGTTACACCAGCTCTGTCAGGAGGAATGGGCCAAAATTCACCCAACTTATTGTGGGAAGCCTGTAGAAGGCTACCCGAAATGTTTGACCCAAGTCAAACAATTTAAAGGCAATGCTACCAAATACTAATTGAGTGTATGTAAACTTCTGACCCACTGGGAATGTGATGAAAGAAATAAAAGCTGAAATAAATCATTCTCTCTACTATTATTATTATTTCTTTCATCACATTCCCAGTGGGTCAGCATTGCCTTTAAATTGTTTAACTTGGGTCAAACGTTTTGGGTAGCCTTCCACAAGCTTCCCACAATAAGTTGGGTGAATTTTGGCCCATTCCTCCTGACAGAGCTGGTGTAACTGAGTCAGGTTTGTAGGCCTCCTTGCTCGCACACGCTTTTTCAGTTCTGCCCACAAATGTTCAATAGGATTGAGGTCAGGGCTTTGTGATGGCCACTCCAATACCTTGACTGGTCCTCTGTAGCGTGGTCCTCTGTAGCTCAATTGGTAGAGCATGGCGCTTGTAACGTCAGGGTAGTGTGTTCGATCCCCGGGACCACCCATACGTAAAAATGTATGCACACATGACTGTAAGTCGCTTTGGATAAAAGCGTCTGCTAAATGGCTTATTATTATTATTATTATTATTATTATTATTATTATTCTGACATTTCACATTCTTAAAATAAAGTGTTGATCCTAACTGACCTAAGACAGGGAATTTTTACTAGGATTAAATGACAGGAATTGTGAAAAACTGAGTTTAAATGTATTTGGCTAAGGTGTATGTAAACTTCCGACTTCAACTGTATATTGACTTGGGCCCATAGGGAGTTCTCTGAGGGTAGATGGAGGTGGATGAGGACTGGCTGGTTAGATGGTATGAATGTCTAGGACGACCCATCGTACCGCTCAGTCACTCTTTCTTTCAGTCGGCGCTTCATTCTCTCTCTCCTCTTTCTCTCCATTCTAGTTCAGGTTTTGACTTGGTATGATGTCAAACTACTTTGGGTTTTAAATGAGAGAACTGAAACATTTCAATTGTTAACATGGTACCTTCTGTGAGTTTGATAATGAATGTAAAGTACTTTTGTTCATGTTTTGGTATTATCACCATGACTTAAATATGTGATCGTTTTTTTTTTTTAAACAACACATTTCAGTTTAGTGATGATGATGATGACCATGGTAATGTACATCTCTCTGTAATTTGTACATCACTCCATTTTGAAAACTGTTCAACTCAAATTCACTCCTGTCATTGCTGGAGTAACTGAATCCAAACAATGTCCCGGGATTACAAATTGACTCAAACGCTCGTGATTTGTGGCATTTCAACACTCCGGTCAAGAAATATATAAATCTATCAAAAATAGGATTGTCAATAAATATGACCTGGTACTGTCTAAACGTTAAGCTATAACCTGGTACTGTCTAAACGTTAAGCAATGTAATCTGTTTGCTGTTAAACGCACTTAAACCTGACTTTCCTTTTGGACCAAATTACAATCTGTTAGGCCGTATGACTAAAACCCTACTGGATTTAATGATGTCTAGGTAACTGATATTTACCAGTTGTCAATTTCACTGTGCCTTGCAATTCCTTTTTTTTAAGTAGTTAGTATAATGGGTTACTTTGTCAATCTTGATATAGGACCCTCCCCCCAGGCTGTGTCTCAATAGTGGGAGCTTGATATAGGACCCTCCCCCCAGGCTGTGTCTCAATAGTGTGGGCTTGCTTCCTTTCATTGTACCCTTTCCTCCAATGATCACTGATCTGGCAAGTGGAAGCAACATATGGTGAAAGCGTTTCCATACCTTTCACCTATCATGAAGGAAAGGAGATGAAGGAAGGAAGCCAGTATAGTGGATTGAGACATCTCCTATCTCTTACCATCTCCCATGCAGCCCCAGTCTCCTTTTCATTAGGCCCAATACTCTTAATATAACACTGAAAACGTGTCTGTCTGAAAAAAATCTAATTAAACAATGGATTTGGTACATCCAATTTGTATAGGGAGTAGGAACGACTCTGTCAGCCAAACAGCTATTAACTATGTCTGGGGCCGAAAGTTTTACCTGGTCAGGCCAAGTGGTCAGTAGAACAAACTCCAGGCTCCTTATGTCCACTACTACGGTGGCCCAGAGTGGACATCTATCTGTTTACAACCAGGGTTTGGGGTCAATTCAGGAAGTACACTGAAATTCCAATTATCTTCAATGCTTTTTTTAATGAGGAAAATGTGGAATTGGAATTTGATTTAACTCTCTGAATTGAAATGGAATTGACCCCAACCCTGTACATTATTACATACCGAGGAATGTTATAGTATTTCGGTTCAAAGTGCCAAGTTGAAGGTGTTTCCCATTACATCTCCATCCATTCATTACATCGATGTATCTCTAGCTTGCATTAGGATTTTGATAAAAGCATCAGAACATAGCTACACATTTGCTGTGCTCATGTATTTGACATGTTGTTTTTGACGTTCTGTTCTGATTTAGGTTAGGTTGATCGTGGAAAGCAAGTACAGTAAGTTTAGGTTGACTCACTCACCGCTTTATTGTGCATATTTATTTGTAGCAGACAAGTTGTAGCCATTTTCTCTTACATCATGTTTGAATTCTCTCCATCTCTTTCTAGAATGAGTCCCGGTCTGTTTCTGCTCATGCCAACTCCTTATGGAATTGTCTTGGCAAAAATTTTTTTTAGCTTGACAACTACATTGAGCAATTGCAAGAGCAATAACAGATCCGGGAGCAGGCTAATCTCTTTCCAACAAGGATGGTCCTGTGAAGTATTGTATTGGGAAGTTACACCCTGCCCACTGGGCACACACTGGTTGAATCAACGTTGCTTCCACGTCATTTCAATGAAATTACCGTTGAACTAACTGGAAGAGACATTGAATTAACGCTTGTGCCCAGTGGGTGATCAGTTTGACCATAAGCGGTGTTTTCTGCTGTAGGTTGAAATTGCCCCTAGACGCTGATCTTGGGCTGTTTTACATTTCCCCCCCACTATTGTTAAATTTAGGCTTAGGGGATCAGAAGCTGATCCTGGATGAACCTTCACCCCGGAGCCGTGTTTTCTCATATTTCCTACCTGGAAAGTATTGGTGTGGATCACAATAATGGACGTGTGACCTGTTTTTAAAGATGTTCTACATGTTTTAGTGGGAAAGAAAAAGTGTTTCGTTTCTCTGTTTTCGTTGTTCCACCATGTTGTTTTCTCTCTATCTCAAAGTGATTTGAGATCGACTGCGTCCAAACTCCTCTCACTTTGGGGCCATCACCTGGAATAAATAAAAAACTATCTTGCAGGTGATGATGATGATGCAAGCTGTT